TAGAATCAGTTGAAAAAAATAAAGAATGTCTCATCTATATTCTATTATTCTACTAAAACTCTTGTGTTTTTAATCTTTGACTGGGTGAAATAGTGCATCGCAGGGTAACTTACAAAATATGTCCAAAAACAGAACCCATGATACCTGTAGAATTGAACATTGCTAAATATCATAAAACATTTTATGACTTTAAAATTATATTAAAACATTTTGTGACATAATATAAAATGTCATAAAACATTTCCTGTGGTTATCTGCTGATATTTGACTGTGCTATTCGGTTCAGACTGGGTTATTTTCAAATGAATACATCTTTGAACATCTCCCTAAATTTTAAAGAAATTTTTCAATATAGGCAGTACATTAAAAGTTCCATAATTGTTTCAGGCATTATGGAATCTGATAAAGAAATATCTCCAAAATAATGAACCAGTAGGTCATAGGTTATCTAATAATTATTTGTTATTCTGCATTATATAATTTTATAAGCATTCTAAAAATGAAAACTTTAGCAAATCACCTACATCTGTAATTTGAATCTATACCAACAATATCAACAATATTTATGCTTTCTGATATAATGATATATTGATCTGTATTTGTAAAATGTTATTTGCACAGCAATCTAAAATTAAAAAAAACTTCGGAAACATATAACTTTCCCTCCCCCCACCCAATAATGCAGCTCCTAACTTCAGCCCATGCTTTACAATTGCTTTCACATTCCTAATATGTTACATTCCTAATATGTTAAAGAGCAGCCCAATTTTAAAAATGAATATCTGGAGTTTTGTCTTTTGGTATCAGTTCCATCTGGTTTACTGACTAATTCAATACATGTATTCATGCATTCATCTAATTTAAAACATGGCGCCTTCTTGACTAAAAGAATGCAATTGATTTGCTGGTGCTGCCAGCAAATATTTAGCACATCACGATGGAAAAGTCAATATATTTTAAAAATTAAATAATACATTGAGCCAGGCCACACACTCTTAATTATAACTTTTCTTTAAAAATAAGAAGAACGGCTTTGAAATGTCAAATTTCAGTGGATTGTGGCCCCTTTCTCATGACTTCTCGTTAACAGCTCTTGCAATATTATTTGGGGGCAAAGCAGTGGCTATATAACACAGCTCTACCTGTACTTCGGTGGGAGAACAGCCTGAGCGGTTGCCCTCATCTTTCCTTTTCAATTCCATGGGAAACCACAAAATAAGACCAATGGATGCCTCCTCATAGTGTAGTCTTAATTCTTAGAAATGGAATTATGAGAGGTGAAGAACTGAGACTAATAAGAAAGTGTTATAACCACACTGAATCAGAGGAGCAGCACTCCTCTGGATGTATTTTGGATTTAAAGCAGACAGAAATCAACAGCTAACGATTTGAAAACTCAACTTGTGTGGAAAGATGACTTTAAGGAGAAATACCAGGGCTCATTCAAAGCTGAGGAGCAGCTTTCATGACTGCTTCTTTTCTTCTATTCCCTGGGCTGACAGGTTGACACAAATTCACCTTGCCAGACAAACAGGCAGCAATTTGTTTATGTTTCAGCTAGACATTCATCATCTCAATACATGGCAGCAGTTGCCACTGATTGAATTAATTCAGATTTTCTTGCTTATCTGTCTCAATTATTTCCTCATTAATATCTCCCCAGGGTCCACTGAGCCTTCCTCAACCTAGCGCCCTTTGTCCATCACATCTGGAGGGTATCAGTTTGGAACAGGCTGCTTTTTAGTAGAAGGACGGCTTGCCTTTCCCTTCTGCTCCTTCTGCTTTCTTCACATCCTTAGACATCCTTAAACTCTTCTGTGCTATAATGTACCTTTGCTTCTCACACTCTTATTGATACTTTCCTGTGCATTAGTTTAGACAGATATTATGATAAGCATTCTCAGCAAAAAGGAAGAGGAATACAGTCCATTTTATAAAGTGGCAATCAGCAACAAGGGCTAAAATACAGTTCTCATCTTCACATAGTGAATTTACTGGTGCATTCAGAATTTCCGGGCTTCCATAAGGATTAAAGTCAAGAACAAGACAGGCAGAGAAGCTTTCATTTCCATAACTATAACCAATATTTGCTGCTCAAATGTAACAATAGCAGCGTAGTCTATGGCTATGTGGCCTTGGTGGCTTTAAAAACATTAATTTACCGTAATGACAAGAAATACTTCATTACATAGCTTGAGAGAAGAGATTGAAATCAAATTTCCATTTTACAGTTATTCTCAGTTTGTAATTCATAATGCCTTAAGCGTCACCCTCCCCAAAGCATGCACTGTAATTAAGTTTCCTGGTGGTTTCTATAACTCTGATCACTCAACCTGGGATTCTAAAGTTAACATGCTCCCCTCAGTCATATATTGTGACCTACCTTAATAGCCATTATCTATTCCTAGTCCTAAGTAGGCATTAACAGAGACAGTTTATTATGCCTTTGATGGGTTATCATACATATCTGATGGGTTTTAAACTACTTAGCATGCTAGATATTTTAATGGAATTTCAACACACACACACACATACTAATTTGTTGCTACTGTATGTAAAACTTACTGATTTACAGCTAAATAGCATCTTTATTTGGCCTTGGAGGAGAATCCAAACCACCTGCTAATGCAACTTAAGTATTCTTTGCACTGAGGTTTTCTACTGAAATTAATTATCAAATATTATCATTAAAAATGAATGTTAATTACAGTTATTAATTATTTTAGTCTGCCTCTGCATACATCCAAATTCATTAAGCAAGATCATCTATTCAAAAATGAAGGACTAGATTACATAACTAACGAACTGGACTCTCTCTCGTTTTTGTTGCTAAGCGAGACAGTTGTTAAGTGAATTTACCCCATTTTATGACTCTTCTTGCCATAGTTGTTAAGTGAATCACTACAGGTCTTAAGTTAGTCACATGGTTGTTAAATGAATCTAGCTTCCCCATTGACTTTGCTTGTCAGAAAGTCACAAAAGGTGAGCACATGATCCCAGGACATTGCAACCGTCATAAATATGAATCAGTTGCCAAGTGTCCCAATTTTGGTAATGTGAGCATGAGAATGGTGCAATGGTCGTAAGTGTGAAAAATGGCCATAAGTCACTTTTTCAGTGTGGTTGTAACTTTGAACAGTCACTAAATGAACTGTTGCAAGTCGAGGACTATCTGTACCTTAAAGGGATAGCTAAAGCATAGCATCTAACTCAGTGTTTCTCAACCTTGGCCGCTGGACGATGTGTGGACTTCACATCGTCCACACATCGTCCAGCGGCCAAGGTTGAGAAACACTGATCTAGCTAGCTACATCCTAATCTCTGAGAGTCTTGGGACAAAAGGCAGAAGAGTCTGAGACTGATTGGTGGAATACATCATTCACACCAACCAAAGTGTTTTCTTAAAGATGCAGAATGGAGGAGGGATTGCTTGGCACCCAAATTTCCATCGCCATCTTTTTATATACATAAAAGAGTTAGGGCTGAAATAAGCAATAACTGTCTAGGCCAATTACCCACAATGCTTTCCAGGGGCTCTGAATCCTTTTGTGCTTTTTGGCACAGACAGGATAATGTCAGTTTGCCTGTTGGTTGCGTTTCCCTCCTCCTGCTTTTTCCTGTGTTTTGCCAGTGAGCTGTTGTGCTGATGTTTTGCTAAAATTTAAGATAGAAACATCAAGGTATATATATTTTGCTGGCTGAGCTGAGCTGAGTGCTATGTGCGTCTGCTCTGATATGAATATAGGGATTGCCTGGTTCTCCCCAGTAATTTCTCTGCATTAACGGTGTCCTAGAAAAGAGCAAGGCAAAGGCAAAGAGGGGAGGCAGAGTAATTCTAACTGCCGATACAACAGTTCATTTAATGACCATTCGAAGTTACAATGGCACTGAAAAAAGTGACTTATGACTGTTTTTCACAGTTACAACCTTTGCAGCATCCCCATGGTCATGTGGTCAAAATTCAGACCCTTGGCAATATTTATGACTGTTACACTGTCCCAGGGTCATGTGATCACCTTTTGTGAGCTTTTGACAAGCAAAGTCAATGGGGAAGCCAGATTCACTTAACAGCCATGTTACTAATTTAACAACTTCAGGGATTCACTTAACAACTGTGGCAAGAATGGTAGTAAAATGAGGCAAAATTCACCTAACAACTGTCTTACTTAGCAGCATAAATTTGGGGCTTAATTGTGGTCGTAAATCGAGGACTACCTGTACTGCAGTTGGTCAAGGGGTCGTAGGATCCTGAAAAATCACACTTTCCACAAAAATGTCACGTCTGGGGGGAAGAATGATTACCTGATACTATAAAGATCTCAGGGTTTCAGAAATTCAGACAACTGCTAGATGCGAGTGTCCTTGATCTGGATGTAGTCGCTCATTCACTTGCAGAAACAGGATTTTCCATATAGAAGCAAATTTATTCTTCTATACTAAAGATAAATTACTGTGGTAATTTCTATCCAGGTAGGTGGAAACTATTCTGAGTTTTATAGGCATGGGAAACAGTAACCTCTCTTTCTTATTCAGTTCCTGGCATATTGTGAACAAGATTTTAGATATGCACCTACACTGACAGGCAATTATAGATGAAAAAAATGAATGGTGTTAATTGACTCCAGCTTAAAAAAAATCTCCAGAAGATTATGTAAAACCCACAGTGATGTCATTCTAATCAGAGAATCCACAGTTGACTCCAAAGGAAACAATTAAGAGCCACAATAAAAATATGAGTGTCCTCCTGACCAGGCTCCTATGCCCATTTACAGGCCACATTTTTTCTCTCTCTCTCTCTTTCCTCTTTTCTTTCCTGCCCAACAGCATTTCACTGTTCTCAGAGTCTTCCATCTGCATTGCAGTACTGCTACATTTCCTCTCCCCTCCCCACCTTCAAGGTTCTTTCCAAAATATTTTGTAAACATCTGTAAATTCTGGTCAATTAAAATGGAGAAATCTATTTATTTCTCCATTTTAACTGACCAACGTAATCTATTTACCTTGGGATCCCTTTGCGACTTGAACTCAGTATTCTGCACGTAACGAAGAAAAGTTGCTTGTTTAACACTTTTTTGTGCTGAAACAATTGAAAGGTAAGATGTGGTGGCAATGGCAGTAACTCACGGGATGTGAATACATTTAAGAGTTTCATTATGACATGAAAACAAAATATGGCTACTAAATTTATGACTGGATGTTTCTGAAGTAAATGACAAGACATTGATTATCAATTATGGAAATCAAAATGAAAGTGGAAGTAATGTTAAAAATAACACGGATCCTGTATTTAACATATGGGGCAAAAAAGTTAGATCTTCATCTGTATAGAACATGTAATTACAGTTTAAATTAGAAGTAAAACAACAGTGAAGCATTAAAATTTACTATTAGAAAAATGTTCTGCTGCACGATATCCCATCGCTAGGAGCCCTTGGCTTACTTTCACAGTAGGTGTGCAATAAGAAGCAGTGTTGGGTTAGATATTTGTAATAATGAATTTTAATTAGTCTAGACTTAAGTTGACTTGGCATGTTCCTAAGAAGGATTTTCCAAGATGTATTGGGATGAGATGGGATGGAGCCACCTCAGTGACAGAGGTCAGAGTTGGTATTCCAACTAGATTCCAAGATCAATCCCTAGCATTGATAGCTGAAAGGACACTTACTATTTAGAATATTCATCAGTAATGTAGAATGAAACGGTTAAATAGTTCTGTTCATTGCAAACTGCTCTTCCTTTCTGTTGTAGAAAGCCATGTGGCATTTTCTTCCTTGCAGATGAGAGGCACACATTCTCCTGATTTAAGAGAAGAGTTTGTCTTTTACTTTCATTGATATGTTTAGTTAATGTGCACACTTTTCACAGTACATTGATGGTAATCTCTGAAGTATCATTCCTTTATTATGTATTTCAGGAGAAGTGCAACATATTTGATTTCTTTGAGTAGATTTTCAAATAAAACAAAAAGAATGTTGGCTGAACTCTGTTTACCATGATTACTATGATAAATTCTTTAAGTAGGGTAAGTCCATCATTCCTTCTAATAGAAAACTCAGGAGACCTTGTAACAAAATGTTCAAAATCCAAATGACTGCTAAGAAGTTAATTACAAGCTTTTGAAGAACCCCAGTATTGAAACTCAAAGGTGTGCTAAAATATATTCCATTTGACACATACTATAATTACTATAACTTTTTCAAATTCACATGCATTTTGTGTCAATATGTTAATAGACAACATGAAAAATATCTGTAGTATTTATTACATTTATATAGCTGCTCTCACATAGCAACTCTATATTATTGAGTGATCAACATTCTGACATCATTTAGAATGTAAATACCTAACAATATAGTCTTGGTCTATAAGGCTCACTGGAGCAAGCTTCATATTACCAGAATCCATCACTCAGGAAAGGATGATGATAAGGACTGAAGCTATAAATGAATTCAAGCAATGTGTATCATAGACATTATTTGATTGTAATAACTGATATATAAAATACATTGTGTTTTCTTGGAGAAAACTACATAGGGAATTGAAGGAAATGAATTAACACTAGAATTACTGGATAATCACACATTTTCAATGCCTCAGGTCATGACGTGTTTCAAATTAACTGATTTTGCTCTTTGATGAATTCTTGTTTTGCTCATTGCTGTTTGAGGTTAGTTGTGCACGCCTTGAGCCAACCCACAACTTCCTTTTCAATAAGCCATAACATAACTTTGATTATCTTTTCAGGTATTTTTCTTTCTTTTCTTGTGTGTGCATCTATTTCTTATTTCTTCATACATAAACAGTGTGAATTCTCAAATTTTTCTTAAACCAAAATCTTGTATTCTGAGAAAGTATCTTCCTAGTAACCTGGCATTCTAGATAAAGACTTGAATTGTTCCAGCTTGAATTGACTTGGATTGAACATCTGACTGAGAGATGATTTCACTTCTGCTCACCCTTGTGGTTTACAACATAGCTTCTGGCTTCACGAAAGGTGGGTAGATGAAAATGGTCAAATCTTGACAAATTTTTCCAGGGTTGAAGAATGGTCAAGAAGAGATATGAATAATTCATGGCAACTAGGCTATTGTTGTGGGGATTGCTATTTGTACCTGTTATATGTGGTTCCTTGCAAAGATTAAGAAAACACCATTATTGCCCAAACGCTTTCTGTATATCATTATTTTTTTCATATTTTTAAAACTTTATTTTATTGAAAAGACAGTGCCATGTCAGGATAACAATGCAAATGAAGTACAACCAGAGATAGATCAAGGATAAATAACATACATGCTAATAATTATAACTGTACTATGTTAACAGTAATTGCAACAATGCAACCAAAAAAAAAGAAACCAAAAGTAAATAAAAGAGAACTTCAACTAAGTTTCTACTTACATTAGCTTATTTTTTTCATATTTTTACTCTGTTGTTCAATCAAGAAGTATGACTTAGAAAATAAAATGTCACATATCAGCAGGTTTATAATATGAAAAACATGGCAAAAAAAAAGAAAATGGATTAGGGAGGAGAAGACACGTCTTCAATTACTAAATTTTTAGTTACCAAATTCAACCCATTCATCAGGTGCTTATTCTGTGCATAGAGAAGCAGCTGGTAAGGAAAAAGGCAGGTGCTCATTTGGAGCCCAGACATGATGGGTAGATGGGCTGGCAAACTATAATACATAAGGGAGAAAATATTAAGAAGGAAGAAAAGACAGTGACATACATTCTTTTCTTATTATGTCTGCTAACTTGTTTATATAATTCTGTAGATACTCTAATGCACATTCCAATTAAACTACAGATATAATTTCTGCATAGTCTTGGGAAGTTAGTTCTTTTACTGTTTTTATAACAACATTTAATTAAGCAACTTTAGAAAAGTAATAGTAAATAAGGTATCCTAAACTGAAATAAATTGGTTTTAAAGACTTACTAGATCCATGTTGAAAGTACATCTAAACACATGGACTACAACACATAAATGACTGAAAATCACCCCTTTTTGTGGCTAGGATTTTTTCCCTACAAAGATTTGTATTTGCAAAACTCTGTGTCTGTTTTTGTATTAGTCATGGAAGTGACCCAGCCAGCATTCATGATAGTAAAGAGACCAGAGGCCACCCACTTTGAGTGTGAAATCAAGAACATGGGTAATGCTGAAGATCTGAAAGTAACTTTATTTAAAGAAGAAGACAACGGGTCCATTGAGATCTGTGCCTCAGTCTTTACTCACACTGGGATCATATTAGGCCACAAGAAGGAAAACCACAGATGCCAAGTTTATCCTGGTCGTGACAGGGTAAATGTAACACTTTTGGGTCTACAGTCAAGTGATGCTGGTTTGTACATTTGCCAGATTGAACGGATATCCCCTCCACCCTACTATCCAGTCAAAGGAAAGGGGACCCAGCTCTTTGTCATTGGTGAGTAGAAAACACCTAAACATGCTTTAAAAAATATTGAGAAAAGGAATGCATGAATGTAGCTGATTGTTTGAAACTGACTAATAAAGTAGTTTGTGATCTCAACAACATGCTTTGTGTAAAGTTCCCATATGTGTGCTTATCAAAAGCCATATAGCAGTATCTCTTAACCTAGGCAACCTGAAGATATATGTACTTTAACTCCCAGAATTCCCCAGCCAGCATGTTCCATCATAATATAATAATTGAGTTGAATTAGGATTATTGCTTTAATTTTTTTTTTTAGCATATTGAGCTCTGAGTTCATTAATAGAACTATTTCCAATCAACCATACTAGTCAAATCCTCTGATTCAGCTAATTATGAGTATTTGTAAATCATGCTGGACTACTTTTAGGAGCTTCATGCCAGGTCACAATACAAGGAAAAGAAGGGGCTCACTTTTTTTTTCTGGGGTGTGTGATCCTCTCCCAAGAACTAAGCAGCTTTCTCCAAACCAAACTTGGCTTGCCTGGGAAGTCTTTCAGGTTGACTGGATAGTTCTTTACCTGCACAGAAGCATCAAAATACCATAAAGCTATTTTGATGCTTTATGGAATGTCGCAAATCTCACTGTTCTTGCTGCATCACTTTATTTATCTACATGGAGATGTACAAAGAATAGTTTTGACACATTCCCACTCCATGAAGCTTGCAGCATAGCAATGCATACCTAGGAAGACATTTTTGTTTAAATCTAAAGTCTCCATGATCTTTTGAAGGTTTCAAGATGAACCTAACATTGTAAAAAAAAATTCTCACTGTTAAAATATAATTTGTTTTGTTCTGGTTTAGTACAATATTGCCAAGTCTTTAACATTTAAGATTTGTTGTAGAATCTTTGAAATGACCATCTTTTTTTAAAAAAACTTTCAGATAAAGATTCATGCCCAGATAACCACCTCTATCTTTGGATCTTAGTACCAGTAGCTTCTGGGTTGCTTGGATACAGCATTTTAATCACAATCTTCATTATGACAGAGGTAAATATTATAACACAACAAGAATTATTACTACAATGAACATATACTTTTAGAGCTAGGAGAATTTTTCACACTCTTTGCATGTTTTAAGCTATGTAAAACAAAGTCCTCCTCTGGATTCTGGGTTAGAAATTCTTATGATTAACAAAGAAATACCTCAGGTCTTGTTGGCTATAAATTCTGGGACTACCGTGGTCAGTTTATGATTTTGGTGCTGTGCCAAGTGCACAAAGGGACTTGAAGTTCTCTGAAGCTATGAAAACCTCCATCAGTTGCCTCCTGGCTTCAGAGGTAATGATGGCATAAGTTTTGAACGACCATAATGAGGCTTCTGTGGCAAAACTCCACCATCTGTTAAGGGAAACGGAGGTGTGCAAAACTGTATGCCCTTGCTGGGAACAGAGAAACATATCAGAAATATATTTGGTGAATTGCACTGGTTCCAGAATACAGCTTAGAAAACTGAACTAGTTATCAGTTTTCATCTTCCCCCACCTGCAATAAGTACTATAAAATAAGAGTCCCCTGCATTCTACCTAATGGCATAAAAATGTGGTGTGATTCAAGTGAGATTTCAACTTCCCTCTTTTTAAAAAATCACTCAAATGTTATTAAATATTCTTAATCCAGGTGACTCTACGTATAATCAATAGGATTCATTTAATTGTCACCATTTTGGTGTCACACAGATATAGTAGCAAATTCATTATTATATGGTGTCTTAAATGGCAACTAACTATATTTTGTTTTGTTCAATCAAAATGATTGAATCAGGTGATCTGCTTAAATCTTACTGTGCAAAACCAATACCCTGGTGTTAAAAATACTCATAATTGTTATTGCTTTATTTTATTTTATTTTATTTTATTAATATTGTTATTTTTAAAGGACATCTCACTAGGAAACAATAATAATTGGCATTTTATAATAACCAATTGTGAATGTAGAGCTATCATTACTGACAACTATCGGCAGATTATAGATATCAATTTATAAAAATCTAGAATAGCATTTAAAACTTTTTTGCGTGTGGTTTCAGATAACATTTCTTTTATTTTACAGGTCAGAAAAAAACGCTATTATTCTCCAGGGGCTTATGAGAAAATGGTACCAATGTAATTAGAAAGAAAAGGACTTCAATGGAAAAAGGGGAAAAATGACTTCTATGAAGTGTCAATGAAGAGAATGAATTTCCTAATAACTAGGAATGTAATTATAATTTCCAGATTGGAGAACGAGAGGCAAGGCAATGTATTAACATGTAAATGCTGAAATTAAATAACAAATCTGTTGAATCATTGAATTCATTTGAATGCATCTATACTTTTCCCTAGAGCAAGGTCAATTTTCCTTGTGAAAAATTACCACAAATTCCTTTGCAATAGTAATAGCCTTACATTCAGGGCCTCATGTTATATTCAGTCCAATTAGTGGATAAAGTATTTTGTGGCATGTTCCATTCCAGATTAGCTGGATTGGTTTCTGAGCTTAACTTTTCCATTGGCCAAATGTACTTGATTTTGGTCTTATTTTTTTATAACATTTGGATTTCTTGTAGAAGCAAACCAAGGCAGATCGCAGAGGAAACAGACAAGATCAGTCCTTAACATAACCAACTAAATAAAATTATAGCAAGAAAACCAAATCAGAGTAAGGCCAGGAAGCCTATACTCCAAAGATGCTTCCTGATGATAACATTTAGATCTGACTATGTGATAAATTCAGGAATCAGAATAACAAACCTCCATCTGCCCTTAGCCCCAAATTCTCCTCACTTGCATCTCCTTAACTGCTAAATGTGTATGCATATATCACTACCAAATGTTTTTAAAGTTTTTGCTTCCTCACCACCACCACTACAATCTACTACAAGAAGTAACATGTTTTTTTTCTTTCCTGAAAGAACTTTTCACTGTTGCCTGAACTTGGTATGTGTGTATGTGGATGCTCAGATATATGCCAGCCTTTTCTTTCTCTTCAAACACTTTCATTCTTAGCAGCATCTATTCTGAGCTTCTATACTTCATCCCCAACTTTGCTTCAATTTCCTTTTGCCATTCTGTTTAAGGAATGTTTGGAAAATAAAAGTGTAAGTGTCAAAAGTATTTCAGTGATTGTCTTGTTTTGCAAGCAAGTATAACTAACTGCATGTGAGAGGAACCACAGACAGAAAAAAAATTAATCAAGCTAACTAAAGATTCTGGCATAGTAGAGATTTCAAAAAAGAAGGAAAAAGTCTACATAATATACAAATGTTTATAATTATGCAAACATTGCTGAAGCCAATGGAACATATATTTGAGGAATTTTGAGGGAAAGACTCCAAGGAATGTATATCAATGTATTTTCTATAGCAGTGGGAGGTTGTTTTTTTTGATGGCATCCTTTTGTTTTATACACATACAAACACACAATAACCAAGGGATTTCTTTTGTCTCTGTCAATTGCCTGGACAAGTCCCTGCAGTCTTTTTGGCAAGATTTTGGAAGTGACCTTGCCTCCTTCTAAGGGCTGAGAGACAATGACTGGTCTAAGATCAGGAAGCAAGCTTTGTGTCTAAAGGGGGACCAGAAGTACAGTCTCCCAGCTTCTAGCCTGTTGCCTTAACCACTACACCAAACTGCCTCCACTCCTATTAAATCATTTTTAATCCCATTAATTAGGTCACGTGTAACTTTAAAGATATATATGGAAACCACAATGCAATATGTTTTGTCTCAAGAATTCAAGATAATTCTTGATGCACTTGAGAACCACTCTTAATTAGCTTGTGCATCCAATATATTTGTGTTCTTAATAGAAGTAAATTTTTGTTTCTTTCTAAGAAGGCTCTTCAAAAGCTTTTAGGGAATATTGGTAATGAAGTGTGTGGCTGGGATACAAAAGGTGGGGGGGGGCGTTCTTTAAAAAGAGTACAATGAAATGTTTATCAGAACTTCATCCAGATATTTATTTGGTGTATGTGTATGTGGCCTATTCCACACTTGTGTTTGTGTGGAATAGGCAGGATATAAATAGATATATAAACATATTAGGATAGGGAAAACATGCAAGGAATTAACATATGTATGTGATGGGCAACTGGCACAAAATTAATTATACCTGACAAATAATGGTAAAAATGTGATCTGGGATCTGAATTAGGAAGGCCTTAAACTGAATGCAAGGGAGAGGAAGAGAATGAAAACTTTAAATGGGCGGCGAATGAAAACTGTAAAGAAAGGATCTCAATTATAGACTTGTGCACTGTAGAATGTGGGGGTGTTGCTGAAACTGAACATCTTAAACTGCTAAAAAAATTAATTAGAGCCTTGATTCAAAATTAGTGGTCCTCATAATTCATTCATTAACACTCAGACTATGGGAAATTAACACATTGAACCTCAGTTCTTACTAATAAAGTACAAATATTTAATACCATAGGTAAAACAGAAACTTGTTAGGATGATTCCCATAACTGCAACTCTAGCAACCAAAAGATATAATTTTTTTTGAAAGAAACAGAAGCAATTGAGAGGATGAATTGCATGGTATGCTAAAATTATCCTTTCTACTCAGAACTTCAGATAAATAAACTTGGCAATGTTTCCAAACATTAAAATGTAAATCCATTGTAGTGATGGAAACCTTTTATTATCCTCACATTTATTGGGAGATAAACTCTGCCATGTTTGATTCTTCCAGAAACAACCTGATTTGTCTTTCTCCTCCTCCAGAGGAGGAAAAACAAAAGAGGATTATCTCTCCATGATAGTAATCAGTAGAAAAGATGAAATTTCTTAAAAGTGGAGCTAGCAGGAACATTGGCAGAAAGTGACCATATAATGCTAGAATTCTTGATTTTAAGGCAAGTTAAACCTGAACATAATCAAACACATACCCTGGACTTAAAAAGAAGAAGATGATATTAATAAACTCAGAGCTATGTTGAGTAGGACCTTTACCATTGCCAACCCTAAACCTGGATGACAATGGAGAAAGGCTGGATATCAAGCTAGAAACTGACTTCACAGTTTTTTCCCCACTGCTGTTGAAGATGCAGTTGAATCAAAACTGATTTAAGTCATTGGAGAGCAATCATTGTCCAATATTCTGTACTGAACAAGTGGACCTAAGTGAGAATATGGTAAGTAGATTCCAAGGGCGGGAGAGGTTAATAGAAAAGGAACTTAATAAAAATGGGAATTATTAAACCAAATGATGTTAAAACACAATTGCAAACTATTCTGGGGGGAGGGGGGAGAGGAAAAAAAAACAGAGGATGGGGAAAAGTGCCAATGCAGTTATACGAAAGAACTACTGTTGATTTGAAATTAAATAGGACATGTACAGGAGATGGACAAAGGGCCGGGTCACAAAAGAAGGTTACATATTGGTAGCCTGAGAATGCACAGGAGGTGTTAGGAAAGTAACAATCTAGAATGAACAGTGATTAATCAAGGAATCTAAGAATAACAAGAAAAGGTTTTTAAAGGAAGCTTTTAAAGGGAAAAAGAACAGAATCAATATTATAGCTGATCAGTGATACAAGCAAAAGGTGAATGTTAATAAAGGAATATCAGAGGTACTGAGGTATTATCACAATACAAGCTTTTCCAAGAGGAAAATATGGATTCCATCAGAATGGCAAATAATAATACTTGATTATGGAATTATTCTGTTGTTTGAATGAGTTTCAGATGAATTATAACCTAGGAAATTGGTAAAACTATATGATGGTCTGGTGGAACCTCATGTATTAAAGGGACCACCCAGAATTTTTGAAATCAGACTGGATATAAATCATGTAATTAACAAGTAACTAATTTTCAGAATTCCTGGAGAACTAGTAAAGTTCATTTTGATTCGAGGAAAGCAAATCTTCAAAGGAAGAGAAGCAAACCACAGACCACTTGTATGTGACATAGATATCTGAAAAATCAGGGAAAATTCTAGGTAGGTAATAAAGATTTGTAAGCACCCTGAGAATCTAATTATAATGAGTAAAGCTAGGCTGCGCTTTGGATGCTTAAGCAAAAGATACCTGTACTATCTCTCTGTAAATATTTAAGTTAAACGTGTCTCTTCTCAAGACTGCATTATGGCTGTGGAGGACAACCATGCAGTTTTTGGAAAGATGCAGCTGCTTTAAAAAGCTGCAAACAGGGACTGAAATACAGCACTCTTGTACTTTGCAGCAACATTTGCATTTAAAGTTGATGCTGCACAGTTTTACTAATTTGTCAAAAGCAAAACTTCAATCAGATTTCAGGAATGCTACATGGAATGCTTGAATTTGGATTCATGCACAGTGTTCAAAAGGACATAATAAATCTTGATTCCCCTGAAATTCACCTCTTGATCCCATATTCAATAACAAATTAGATGTGAACTGGGTAGATAGGTGGCTTTATTGTAGGCAAAAAGAAGTCCTTTTCTAAATTTGAATTTGGGACACAGTGTTTTCATAGCAGTTATGTCTGCCAGGAGCAGAACTAGTTTCCCTCCTACTAGCTTCAGCTCTTGCAACTGAACAGGGGATTGGACTCAATGGCCTCTTTCATTCATAGATAAAATGGAAGGAAGGACAAATGAAAGAGAGAGGGTTGTGTTGTTAATTAGACACATCAATACTTTCTGATAAGACCCTGCAACACTTGTACCATGTTATTCTGGAAAAACACACAGCTGGGCTGTCTGCGTCTGAAAAACCTTGGCTGACTGCTTATCAGGCCAGATGAGGAGGTAGGAGACTGCCAGGAAATATCAGATAATTCAGCTGAATGTAGAAATTGTATGTGTACCTCCAACACACAGTACTGTAGTTTGTACTTGGCAACACTTGAGTTGTGACATGTCAAGGTAATTAATCCCACTTAAGTGGTTTCCAGCTGTTTCATCATTTATTTCAGTAACTGACCAACAAAATTTACATGCAAGAGTGTAATTGAGGACATCCCATTGTGTCAATAGCTTAATCTACATACTGTAAGAATAACTAAAACCCAAATATTAAAACATGGTTATCAATACCATTTTGATTATATTATGATATTAAAATTATTAAATACAAATGGCCAAATCACAAAAATCTATAGCTATTTCAAAACTGAATATTAATAGTGTGACTATAAAACTATGGTTCAAAAATTTAGATAAAACAAAGAAAAGGATGGTGGAATCAAAAGATGAAAAGCTAAAATATGTATAGTCAAGTAAAAAATGTCAAGTAAAAAAGTCAGTTGTCTTTATTGTTCTAGTGGCTGAAAAGAGAATGATAGCAATAAGTGTAACAAATTGTATAAAATAAAAAATAACATTTAACTACATCAATGTTTGTTACTGACCATTTATGTGATAGATACATTCAGTGCAAGATTTGCACCCATTTTTCTATTTTATCAACTGGTAGGTGAAATAAATTACAGTAACAGTTAATAATAATGTCCAAGAGGACCATGGTGCTATCTTCTGATCTTGAATCTTGGGAATTGGGAGCTCCCTCACTTTCAAAACAATTCAATCTGGATGTACCTTATATTTGAAAAAATTGCTGTTTTTAGAGCCTGATCATAGTTCCTTCATTTGAGTGACAGGCCTGCGGGAAGGAACAATTGCCCTACAGGAGTCCTGTTAGGCAGCTGCCAGAGGGAGATCAAACTCTGCTGGAAATGTAAGTTTTACAAAAGATCACATTAGGGAACTCTATATATAAAAATATATACAAATATTTTTTATGTATGGTACATCTACTAGCCCAGGGGTGTTCAAATTTGACAACTCTTAAAGGTCCCATACTAGTGGGGGAATTCTGGGAGTTGAAATCCATAAGTCTTAAACTTGCCAAGGCTGGACATTCATGTACTAGCCCTTTTTCAGAATGGATTCTGCAAAGTTTTAACAAAATTACAAAATATGAGATTTCATTTTAGGAATTATTTTTAAAATTAAAGGTAATTTCAAGCCAGTTAGGTGTAGTGGTGAAAGTGCTGGCCTAGAAACAGGGAGGCCATGTGCTCCAGGCCTCCCTTAGGCATGAAAGACTATTAGTAACCTTGTATCAGTCCCTCTCTCTCAGCCCAACACACCTCATAGGATTGTTATTATGAGAAAAATAAGAGGGAGG